CTTGTCTTTGGGTCTGGTACAAGGCTGGGCACATTGTCAGTATTTAACAAATTAATAGACGTGTTTTCCTGACTGCAGAAGCAAAACCCAAAGTTTAAATCTTTCCGGTTCACATGCCCCAGTTCATCTGGCCTCCATATTATTTTGAAATAAACCAGACTTATTCTTAGGTAAATACACAAAATAGCTGTACAGTGTCAACTTTGACCTCACAATGCAATTTACCAGGGATAGGTTCAGAAGAGGGGATGAGAAAGAAAAGGATGTGGCAAATATGGATATAAATAAGGAAGTGACAGCAAAATCTCGTAACTTCCAAAATTATTCTAAAGGACTTTGAGCTTCTTAAATACAAGCTGCGTCATCTCTGTTTGCCAATGATAATGCTGTGGGGGGGTTAGTATACCCACCCAAGATTAGACATTTCACATAGCCAGTTAAGCTAGGACAGTATTCTGCTATGGTTACCTCTGTGATTAGTGGAGACAGAAGGAAAAGGACTTGAGAGTAAGGTTCAGAGCAGAACCACAGTACTTTGAATTGTCCTCTGGAGGAGTTCCTTTCCTTTGACTATAAATGGAGGGAGAGCAGTGCACCTAACTTAACTACCTAATATCCTTCCTTTGTATGTCTGTAATTTAATTCACTTGTACAGTAGCTGGTTGTACAGAAAAAAATAAATGGTTCTTTCTTCTGAAGAAAGCTGTTGGGAAAACTGCTCTTGTGCCATTTTAGTGAGTTGCAGATCTTTTACTGTTTGGTGGGCAGGTGAGTCGTAAGTCTCATCAAAGTAATGAGGCTGCAGTGATATCATCAAGAGGTGTCAGTAGTATCTTACCTTTCTATTTCGTTGTGTAAGCTGGAAAATGTGATTTCGCAACCAGTATTCCTGTCTATGTACGCATTTTTTCACATCAATGTATTTCTCACATATTAAAATAAACTGAGCTCAGAAGGGCAGGTAGGTCCTGAAGTCTTTTTTTCTGACTTTTTTTATTCTTCTCCCCCTCAGTGATGGGTTGACCCCTGCCAGCTGCTAAGCACCACAGCTGCTTGCTCATTCCCCAGCGGGTGGGGACAGCGGAGAGCATAGGAAGAGCAAATGTGAGGAAACTCGTGGTTTGAGATAAAGACACTTAAATGAGTTAAGGAAAGAGGAAGGGAAAAACCCAAAAGTGGTGCAAATGCAATCACTCACCACCTTCCACAAGTAGACTGATGTGCAGCTAGTCTCCGACCAATGACTACCTCCCGAAAAATTCCCTTCCCTCAGTTTTTCTTGTTGAGCATGGTGTTATATGGCATGGAATATCCCCTTGGTCAGTTTGAGTTAGCTGCCCAGGTTGTGTCCCCGCCCAGCTTCATGCCCACCCTCAGCCTACTCGCTGTAGGGGGCAGAGTGGGAAAAAAAGAAAGCCTTGATGCTGTGCAAGTACTGCTCAGCAGTAGCCAAAACGCCGATGTGTTGACAGCACTGCTTATTCACAAATCCAAAACACAGCAGCCTAAGGGCTGCTCTTAAGAAAATAAACTCCATCCCAGCAAGACCCAGTACACCCACTCCTTTCACTTGGCATCAACCCACTTCTTGCATGTTTCAATTTTGCTAGTATTGATGGCTTCTGCTGTGTGGTTTCTGTCATCTCTATCAGCTAGCCCTATGTATTTGCCTCACCAACTGCCCTTTCTTTCCAGCTGTTCTCTGAAATCCACTATTGCTTTTGCTTTTTCCCTTTTAACTTTTTTCTTTTTTGCAATGTGTAAGACAATTAATAAGCTCGAAGCTCAAATTTGGGATTCAGCTTGTAATAAGATAATGCATCCATTTGAATGCATGAAGTGAATGTGTTCTTCATTGCGGGTCTTCTTTTATTGTGCATTAGAATGTCAGCATGTATACTCTCCATAAAAGTTGCTTGGCTGTTCACTGGGAGACTAGTTAACCTTAATTCATCTGAAAACGGTATGTCCGTTGCTGTGTTAAGCTTACATCAAAAGTTGCAGAAGATTGCTGATAGGGCCAGATGCACAAATCTAATGAGCATTCTTTTAGGTTAGAGCGCCCAGGAGTGCTCATTAAATAAATGGCAGTGGTAGAGGGATGACTCTAAAATGCAAAATCTCTGTTCTGCGCTAACTTGTTAGAGAAAACATTATGTGCCAAAGTTATAATAAAACAATAACATACTTCAGCATGCAAGTTAGTTTCAGAGTTTACTTCATGAGCTCTATTCTCATATACAATAGCTGCCTGTATGTACTGCAGTACTGAGAATCTGAGACTCTTGCTTTGCCTAATTACAAGATGTACTGAAATGTAAGGAGACCGTTACCTATTAATATCTTTCTTTGAAATTTCTTAAGTATAAACTGCTACATTTTTGACAGTTTTGTATAAATGGCAAAAATAAATGAAGTTTCTGATTTTCTTCATGCAGAACCCTTCTTACTCGTAAAGATAAAATTCTTTGAGCCACATACACTCCATGGTATTTGGGTACTCAATTTCTGCATGCAATTTCTACTTTGCTGTGTAAACTGGTAGGCTGGCAGATACTTCAGTCAAGAAGGATCTCTGACAACTTTGCCAGTTATGGTATTACAGTATTTTTGTCTTGCTTCCTATTGAGTCAAAAAAGTAAGATGTGTTGGCATAGCCATTAATGTGACATTTTGTTTTCAGAAACCATGCTGAAGTCCAGGGAGGTCCAACCAAAAAATAGATCAGTTGTCACAGTACAGCATTAGAAAAAAAACAGTCTGATCACTTCCTTTCTCATCTGAATTCCAAGTCTTCCTGTACATTTACTGCTCCCCTGCTTACTCAGATAAAAGTGGCAGTTCCACTTGGGCTTTGGCTTATTGCTTTGGTGGAACAATTACATTGGTGAATCCTTTGAATAGTCGAAAGTGGGATGCTGTAGAAGTTGTTTTTGACCATTTTGTTTATGACATGCCATCCTCATACACATTGGTGTGCAGGTGACTTTATGCTTATTTTTAAAACTTAAATCATTTTATAAGAAGCTGTAGGAAAAAGTTTGAACTTTCTTTGACTGCTCTACTTGTCGGCTTTAATAGGCTAGATTTTCTGGGGTTTTTTTCCCTGACAATCTTGCACATTTTTGCAGCAGTTGTTACCTCACAGTTGGTTATTGTGGGAACTGTGATGGTGAAAATGGGAATAAGAAAGCAGAAAATGACATTTGATTTGTTAACATTGATGTAGTTTTCTTCTTTGGTTCTTTGGGAAACATTATTGGTCTTCAAAAGCATAAGTTTGCATTACAGACCCAGTGTCCCTAAAGATTGTACCTGTGATATTTTGTAAAACAATGTATTGTTTTAAACTTGTTTAAAAAGCATCTGGAATCGCTCCACCACTAGTTTTTTTGACATCTCAGTACTGTTAAATGATTGTTTTAAACCATGTTTAAGAAAGAAATTTGCATCTTGTTGAAATACTGGTATGTCAGATTTCATGCCAGTGAGACTCTAGTAAGTTACAGCGTATTTGGTATGTAATGGGAGCACCGAGTGGGCCTGGATCACAAATATGGTGCTGCAATTCCAGATTTCTGGTTTTCCTTCTATGAAGATTAAAATATGTTATTCAGAATTAAGTGAGAACAGTCAGTGTTCCTGTAAACCAGCTCGTTAGAGCATGCAGTGGTTTTCAGCTAAGATCTATTGCGAGGGACAGGTGTGTGTGTGTTGGTAGTTGGAGTGAATTTGGCATGAAGAAAGTTGACCAAAATGCAGAATAAATTAAAGTCAAGTTCAAGTAGTACAGTGTCTAGAAATTGAAGCTAATCAAGTTATGCCTGCATTTTTCTAATATGGCAAGAAAATAAGGAAAATGTTTCATTTCTGTGAGTCATTTTGATGTTTTGACATTCTGCTGTATTCATTTCAGTCCAGCATTGCTGGGTTTTCCTACTCTGGCTACAGAAAATGACAGTCACTTTAAAAAACCTAAAACGAAATGCAAAGGAATTTTAGGGAATATGTCTGGTTTTATGTGCACAAGTACTGGGTATGGGGTTCAGTACCTGGTAGCATACATAAGTCTTCTGTCTGAGTAGCCCTGGGCTTTTCTCCGCTTGCTGCCTGGAAGTCATCTGATTAAAATGTGAAGCCTGGGTATGTTTGTCCTTGATTTTCAAAGGTCTGGCAGCAGGGTCAGAGCTGTAGCTCCAGCCAGGTTGTTGGTATCCAGAAATCTGAATGTGCCCACTGCTAGAGATACGCTCTCCAGCCTATACATGATGAAAGTGTTGGACATGCTGCGTCTGACTTGTCTAGCCTGCATTCAGACGTGTGGCATCTGCAGGCATTGTTTTCGTGTGCATAATGTTGTAGCTAGACCTACTCTGCCTGGAGTGTTTGTAAAACCTTTTGCAGCATGTGTAAAGAACCCAGCGTTTATACGTGCTCACTTTTTCCTACCTAAATTGGACAGGTGTTTTTGTGGGAGGGAACCCGCTGTTTAAATAATCAGTGTGTGTTTGTGCTAATGAATCCTGAGGTGAATTAGAAAGAGTACAGTATTTAGTAATGCATCATTTTAGTATTTCCACTTCACACACACACAGTTTTTAACCAAGTTTACTGTACTTTGGTAATCATGTCATTCCTTTTACTGTTTTTTAAGCCAAATTTGTTCCTCTAGTCTATTTAGCCTTAGATTTTACATTATTTGATTACAAAGTAACCGCTAGTTAAATTTGTAAGAACACTGGAAAAGAAGGGAATTATGTCTGTGTGTATTAGATAGATAAATAGGGGGAATTACAAGATTTACCTTGGTTCACAGAAGACCTCAGTGGCTTTCCTAGGCTGAGAACTTGGTTTCTTTGCTCACAGTCTCAAGGTAAAGGGGATGGGTCTGATTTTTGTCACACCAGTTTTACAGCACATCAACCATTAATCTAAGTACATTTTGTTCTGTTTCACAGAACAGAGAGCAGTAGTCTGCAGTCTTCTCAAAAGCCATACATCATTACCAATGAAAAATGTGGTATCTAGAGCTGTTGGAAGTTTGTGTTGTGAAAGTTTTGAGGAGGAAAGTCTAAAATTTTGTATTGCTGTGGTGATAAATTGCCTTTAAAACAAGGGCAAGTGAGACTGTTTTGACAGGATGTTTGAGTGGAAAAGTCAGGCCTTGGTTTAGTGTGTACCTGCACTCTTTTTGCTCGGAACTGTTCAGAGGGATCTGGCTGCAGTCAGTATGTGCTTGGAAAATGTTTTTGCTGTCATGATAGTATACTTAGAATAGCTCCTTGGCTGTCTCTAAACTGTTACCTCTCACAGCGTCTGAGACCTGGCTTGTCCTTCTATGCATTTGTGCCACACGCTGCAGAAGTCCAGTGGCACTCTGGTTTTGGATTCCTTCTTGAAAAGGAGCTGCCACTTAGTATCCCTTCAGCCTTCAGTAGACCTAATGAGTTCTGTGCTACAGTTGAAGATCCATCAGTGCCTTGATGACAAACAGCACGGCATTCAACAGACTGTGCAGTATCTGTTCTTCTAAAAACAATCTCAGATTTCACTTAGGCTATAAATTGAATCCCCTACTGTCATACCTTCTGAGCATTTAGGGTGCTGTGGAAAAGCTTACATAGCTTCTCTGAAAAAAAAATAGAAAAATAAAACCTTGCTTATTACAGTGTGACCTTTCCATATTATTGAAGGGCGAATGCAAGCTAAACTTACTCCTTCAACCCAAAATAAATAGAAGTGATTGCAAGATGAAGAATGAAATATCTGTAGACAGTTTCAAGGAAAATCTCTTCTTGGTAAAAGGTAGCACAACAGCCTGTTACATGGCAGCGTTATATTTTCTAGCATTACACATATTTAAAAAACGTGAGGAGGTGGGAAAGCTTCTCCCCAAATGCTAATTTTAGGGAGGAGTTGAGAAAAAAAGATCATTCCTTTATTGGAAGTTCTGTTGAAACAGCCAGGCTGGCAGATAAGCTGTATGTGCCTATTCTAGACCTAATGTAGTTTGTTTGCAGTTATGTTAATAAAATTACTCCAAAGTCTTGTGACTTTACAATGAATTCACAAAAACAAGTTTACTTCAGGATTGAGTATACTCCAAATGTAGTTGTATAGTTAAACATGTTTGCAGTCTGGTATCTTTTTGATGCATTTAACTTTTCTTAAACAGAATGAAGACGGATTAACAGAATTCTTTGAAAATGTGGTAAAACAGACACAGATGAAGCCAAAGAAAGTGATCGGCTGGATTCTAAATGACCTGCTCAGTTATTTGAAACAACATTCCCTTACAGTAGAGGAAAGGTCAGGCTTCTTGATTACTACAGCGGTGAAACAAAAGTAATCCTTTTCTCATGTACCATGAATAGTATCGTGTCACTCCATTGCTCGCTTCTGCTTTAGTTATTATCTGTGGAGTTTGTTACGCTAGGCAGTACTTCGTAGGCCTTGACGCTGTCGTGCTGCATGAAGTTAACCAAATACCTTGCAGAGAAGAGGACCACATAGTTAAGAGTAGTAATCAGAGTCTTCCTTCTTTGGAATATGACAACGGTAAAGCATAATCAGGCAATCAATACCAAAGTTGAATATAGTATATCACGAGGAAAAATACTAGCTTGTCATGCCAAACTGTGTGATCTTCAGGCAAGCAACGGTAGCCTAGATATATTACTTCACCTTATTCTCTGAGGTAACTTCTGCCCCCTTTTTCCCTAGCCCAGTCAGTTCCGTTCTCCTGGCTGACCTTCTGAACCTTCTAGAAAAAAAAGAAATTTCTTCTACAGCAGCAAAGCAGGTAAGTACCGTTTTGATTTTACCTACTGTACTTTGAATCTGTGGCTGCCTTACTTCATTCGTGTAGCAATTTTGTAATCAGTCAGCATGTACCAGTACATGGTTGCTTTAAAAGGAAATTATTTGGAATGTTGATGAAGGATAAATTTTGTATCTATTATGTACATATAATAGATGAAAATGTCTTGTGTGTATATAATCTTAGAGATACATCTGCATATTCAGTGTTAGAAGGGGGCACAAGCCAAACAGTAGATTTAAGCAATGTCAACTGAAGTCCTGCTTCTGAACAGACTGGAAACTAGATCTCAATTTCACAGTTCAAGTCAGACCTAAGTGAAAGGTCAGTGGGAGTTAATCCATGACTTGCAGTTAAGCTGAGAGTATATACTAGGTACTAAGGGACAATAAGGTCTACGTTCCCAAGCATTGGCGTGTGGAAAAGGATATAATTCACCTGAGTGTAGTCACAAAAAGAGTTCTGCTTTGGTGTACCCCTTAGTCAAAAGTGGAGAGGTCTGGCTTTTCTTTTATCCTTGCTTCTTTGAGCAAGTGCTATCATGGACCTCTGAAGCGATTACTGATGGTAAAGCTAGCTTTCCCCTCCTTTTAAATATCATCTTGCTTAGGACAGTCTGAAAAATCAGCTCTTGATAATCTGTATCTAAAATTCTGAACTGCTTATGATGGGTACGGTGACTGCTGTGTCTATAGACAAAATTTGGAGGTGTTTTGTGATAGGGAATAATCTCTCATTCACCTTAAATTGTTGCCGGCTCATTTACGTGCAATGCATTGTCATTTCAGATTAATTATTATCGTCTAAGCAAGTACATTAGATGACTCCTCCTCAGGTGTCCATCAGTGAAATTGTTAATGCAGATATTCTGCTTTCAAGCTTTTAACACTCTGAAATACACAGGGCGGGTTTCCATCTTTCTACCACATACTGATTTAATCCAAGTACAACTTTGGAATAGTATTGAAGTCAGTTCACTTTTTTTTTTTTGCATGATTATAAGCCAAGTTAACTGTTGCAAATGTGGCTCTTTACCCTACTTGGAGACACTTAAACTTCCTGGTTTGTTGTTTTATTTTCTGGAGATGCTTGTGCTTCTTAATTAAGTTAGTCTTGTTGTTGGTCTGCTTCTGTGAATAGCCAGCTGCATATAACAGGCGTCATAAATAAGGATTTAAGTGCCTGACTGCAGGCATGTGATTTGGAAATTTTGGATTGGAAAAGTAAAAGCTTCAAAAAGGAGATAAATTATTAATAGGAAAAACATTGGAATGCAGAGCGGTCCTGTGCCTGCGGGGTTATGGCACACCCATCAGTTTGGTGTCTGCATTTGAAAGGAAGCTTAAGAACTCCAGTCTTAACACTCAGCTTCCTTGTGGAGGTAGAGACAGGGTACTAATGCTCTTCTACGAGAGTTTCTTGCCTTATGATATATTTGTGTGCTAGCACTTCTGACAGGTTATGAAATGTCAAGAATTTCAGAGATGCTTTTCTAGTTTAATTACCAACTCCACGTAATGTGCATGTTGTCCTCAGTGTTCCGAAATTGGACACAGAGAAATAACAGTACTGTTTGCCATCACTGAGTGATGCTATCAAACTGCAGAAACCTTGCCACATTTAGAAAAGTATTTTGGTTGCCTGGATGTCAGAAGAAAAACAAATGTTTATAACAATTCTCAGCAGTAGGCAGAGATACTGGATGGCTCGAGGGCAGAAAGGGCTATATATACACAACAGCAGATGGATTGCAGCACTTGGGGTGGGGGAGAATGAACTGCAGCGGTAGAGACAGATCCAACGAGAAAGGATGGAAGGGTTCGATGGGGTGAGCGCGCAGACATGCATACACATACGTGCTCGCTGCAGGAAGCTGTTAACAGTTTAAATTTTTTAAGAGGTTTTGTGTTCGCTCTCTGCTGTATAAGGCACTAAACACAGGCAGTTAAAAGCTGTGAGCACTGATTATAGACACAGAACATGGTATGGTAGGATGCATATGCCAAGGAAAGGGCACTGTGTGCTTACATAATTACCACTTAGGTAATTACAGAGCTCACGCCCAACTTGCCATCAAATATAGCATCCTACTCCAGAGGTCTCCGTAGCAGTTTCAGACTGGCGTGCCTGTGCATAGGGGAGCAGCTTCCAGCTCTGCTGGTGTGTGGGGCTGTGGGGTGAGCGCATCCTGGATCAGGGGACCTGTGCAGGCACGTGCCATGGCCCACCCCAGAGGCACTGTTTTGAAGCCTGCAGTGGGAGGTGCCGGTGCTGCTCACCCAGGGCTGAAACCAGTCTGATGGGGAGTATGCCCGAGCTGAGGCCTCGGTCCTCGTTTGCAGGGCTGGCAGTGAGTACATCTCTGGCATAAGGGGCCTGCCCTTGAGTTTACGGCATTGTGGGAGGAGGCTGGTTCCTGGGCCAGGGAACCAGAAATTTGTCCCTACTGCTGAGCGCCATGCTGGAGCAACTCTGCGTGGACACCCTTGTCACGCGTTCATCGGGGATCTGTAGCAGGGTATGGAGCAGAGCAGACCCCAGGTCTTGTTTGCTTCTGCAGTTGCATCGGTCACCCACATAGGAATAACTAAAACAGACCCACTTGGCACTCCGACTTTAAAGGAAATGAGTACAGCACACAAACCTAAACAGAACCATCTGCTTTGACAATTACGGCTATACCATCTGGAGGACTGGACCCAGCCTGCCCCTCACTTTTGTCAGAGGCTGAGGGACAACTGCCAGACATCGAGGCTTCCATCACTGGAAGGGAGAGATGCCCACAGGACTGATTCGAGTGGTACTGCCTGCTGCTTCCTTCCCACCCTTGGCAGCAAATCACTGCAGATAGGGTTTCCAGTTGGAGCATTCTCAGGCACAGCAGTGAGCTGGCACATTCACCAGTTGCAAAATGTTTGATATGATGCCCGTGGCAGCCAGACGTGTAAGTCCTGATTAATTCATCTTGACCAATGGTTTGCTGCTCTGCCTGTGTAGGTAGAGACCGCAGAACATCATTAAAATCTAATCACGCTCAGGCAAGAATCAATAGTAGAAACTACTGAGATTTCAGTAATGGAAATGAGGCCTGAGATTCTCGTTTTGGCTCTGGAGACTTCATAATTTGATCCTCCTGTTCTGGTGCAGGCAGTTTGTGTAAATGAGTTGAAATCATTTTTTAAACTGCTTTCTTTAGATTCGTACTCCTTGCCAAGTGGAGAAACACATTTTTAAAAGTGCCTCTTTGACAGGTCTTGGCCACATCTCTTTCTGCTTTCCTACATACCTGTAAACAAGCAAAGGCCTTGATAACATTGTTGCTCTACTAGCTAAGTGGAGATGCTTGTTACCAAATTGAAAAGTACACATGATGCAGATGTCACAGGGAAAATCTGGTGCCTTCAAAGTTTCTAATGGGCAAGCTTTTCTAGGTGCCAGGAGATGTTTGGCATAGGAATAGCAGGGAATCAGAGCTGGATGTCTGACTGTCAAGCTTTCCTGCCCCTGATCTAAGTCAGCCTGATGTATGATTTGCTCCTGGGTAACTCTGCCATGGTCGGCTGCGTAGATTTTGTTTGTTGCAGATTTTCCCCTCCTGCAGCCCGTGGCATTCTGCTTGAATACAAACCAGTCCTAAAAATCACACCTGCCTTTTTCCAGGAGAGCGATGTGGCTTATTCATTGTCCAGCCCCTGATTTGTGCAGTGCTTCAGACTCTGCAGGGTGTTTTGCTATGGGCTGTGCTGTGCGAAAAGGACAGGGCTCCTTCTGAGGGGTGATGTACCGTCCTGGTGCCTCGGGAGGCCTCGAGGACAGAAAGCTTCCTGCCCGGTCCCTCAGGGAAGGAGCAGGAGGGGGCTGCCTGCGGTAGCAATGGAGCGCAACAAAAAAAAGGCAAGCGGCTGCAGACAGGTTGAAGCTCTGTTGGATGTATTTCTTTCTAGGGGTATTCCAGGTAGCACTGGCATGATGGTTTTTAAGTACTGCACTAGAAGGAAGATCTTGTAGAAGGCATCATATACTGCACTGATTTATTTAGATATAAACAGCTGAAAGCTTTACTTATAGCGGTTGTAACTCTGGCTGCTTATCAGTAACTTTAATATTGTGATCTGCCTTGAACCCTCTTACAGGAAAAAACCAAGATGTAGCTGCCACAATACAGCTGCGTCTCATTACCCTCTCTTAAGGTCTCCAGCAGAGTGATAAGATCCCGTAAAAAGCTTTGGGGTACTGCTGGCAAACAGATCTCCTCTTGCAGGAATTGCGTCAATGCATGGTTCTTAAATACCTGTTGTGGCTACAAAATTGTTTAACTGAAGGTCTTTTGTACCAGAAAATTCTTCATGCTGTAGAAAATTGCTGGGGTAGTTAAGATACCATCCCACATGCTTCATTTTTCCTAAGTTGTTTTGCTGCCCTGCTAATTATTTAACATGCAGTTTGAATGTCCTTTCTCGTCTCCCCATCCCAGCCTTGTCTCCATCCTACAGTGAGTATTTAATGCTGAAATTTTCATGTGACATCCATTTCCATGTTGGTACACAGCAATGGCCCAAACATACAATTATATTTTCAGCTCAGGATGGAGCACAGGCAGCTGTTTTCATACGGGTTTTCTTTCTCTCCTTCCACAGCTCTGAAATAAGAGCAAAGGGAATACAGAAAATGACTGCCCAAGGAAATTGGTTTTTTATAAATGTTCTCTTCTCTCAAGTTTATTCCAGGACGATAGCCCTACTACAGCATAGGAAAACACACTAGCATTAACAAGTGATTATTCCGGAGGCCTGGGTTCGCCCAGCGTTCCAGTACTTGGAGGTGATGCATAGGTAGGCTGGAGCTGCTGCATTCATTCTGTTCAGCACTATTTGTCTTCTGCTTTGTCATACATATCCTTATTACAGCTTCCTGATGAGGACTGGTAATGGGATGAGTTACCTGGCATTGGACTTGGTACAATAGTCGGCTAATCGTCAGTTCCCAGGCAGAGACATTTCTCATGGAAATGCATTTTCTTACTGCTCTCAGGCAGTTCTTGTGAATAATGTGAGACGAGCGCGAGTACTGCCTGAGGAACAGTCTTGCAGTCAGCGACAGTCTCTGCCGTGGTGCCCCCCTCTCCCAGCGAGGGGGCGGTGGCTCAGTGCAGCGAGGTAGACGGGGGCTGCGCTCAGCAAACTTCTTTGAACAGGTGCTGTCCCTGGTAGTAGCGGGCAGCTCCCGGTACTGCGGTAGGCTGCAGAGCACCGGTTGCAAACCATTAACCTGCACTCATGCAGCGAGTGAAAATGCTGTCTTGTTTCAGGATGCAGAAAAGGAAGGAGGGTACAAGAGCTCTTTCAGCGAGGCATAGGATTAAATCTTAGGTTTGTTCACGTTTAGACAATCTGCTCTTGCTTTAACTAAAATCTGGCTTCTTGGATTAGTAACTGAAATACTGCATGTAAACGACATTGATATGTCAAGACACTGACCTTCGCTACTCATTGTGATTTTCAGGTGCTTGCGGAATTGTGGAAGGGAGAAGGGAAGACTCCTCTTGAAATTGTTAAAGAAAAGAAACTTGAACTGATACAGGATCAAAAAGAGCTTGAACAGATCTGCCAGGCGGTGATTGATGGACAAGAAAATGAGGTGATTATGATGGTGCTGGGAAGCTTGTGCACTATGGCAGTCTGTGGCACTAAAAAGGGGGTTAAAATGGCCTTTTTTTTTTTTCTCCTTTTGATTGGCATTTGAGCTCTAGAGCCAGTATAGGAGCATTAAAGCTGCTGCTCAGATATTATCAGGCTTTTCTTCTCGTTCCTTATTTTACTAAGTGTTTTTGTGGAAATTGAAGCATACACAAAATGATCAGCAGAAGAAATTGCCAGTCTGGCTAATGTGCTAAGTCGTTCTGAGAGACCATAAAAATTTAATGCAGAAATCCCCAAAACTGTGGGGCTCTAACTGCCATTAACCTGACCTGGCCACAGAACTCCGATTTTTGTGTCATCTGTTGTGATATTAGGGCAACACTGTTAAACTGTTCTGAAGCTAGAGATTGAAGTTAGCTCCATCAAGGCATATATTAGTTACGAAATTAGAGACTGTATCAGAGGCTGCAAGGCAAAAATTTTACTTGCATCTGTCTCTTCGCCATCTCCCTGTCTCCCTCCACTGCCACAGAGAAGAGTCTAGCTGGCTCTCTTGCCTGACAACGTCTGTGGGGTGGGGAGGAGCCGGACCCCTGTGGCAGCGGCATCGGTGGCTCCAGAGCTGCTGTCCGCCCTGCTGTTCTGCTGCTGGGCTGTGGCAGCAGCACAGATGCTGCAGTATGAAAGACGGGGTTTTGGCTCTTCCCCATCTCCTTGGAAGGACATGCAGCAGCCTGTGTGGCTCATCGGTCTAACGAGGTCTGAGCCGGGAAAAAGGGAAAAAAACCTTGTTGATCATGAAGGGGAGGAGTGGGAAGGGATCTTGACAGAGTCTAAAATCTGCTTTATAAAAAGCAAAATGAAAACAAGTGCTTACATGTTCTCTGGAGCGAAAATGTAAAAGCAGAAGTGAATAGCTTACTTCTAATATAAACATTGTCTAGATACATTTGCCATTTGGAAAAAACCATTAACATCTTTTGAGAACAATACCACCCACCCCAGATCTCATTGGGGGATGCTAACAGCTCTGCAAGAGCTTTTGATAAAGAAAATGAGCTTGCAGTAGGTCGGCGTGACCTCCATCAGACTGACTCATTTGCAGAGCCTGATAAAAGTGCTGCTGTATTTTCAGACTGGTATGGAAGCACAAGTGTGGATAGAAAGAACATTGGAACTGATTGGGAAGTGCAGAAGCCGAAGGTCCATAATACACTCCCATTTCAATAATAATGCCTTCTCTGAGAATGTAATTCCTCTCTGTTTTCTACTGTTCTAGTCAAGCCAAATGCAGCAGAATGGCCTCACTTCCCTACTTTTTCCAGGTGATCTTTCACCAAGGCAAAAGCTGCCTTGAAGGCCTGTAATTCATTGCTTTAAATTGCTGCGAGAGCTTACCTTACAAAAGAGTTAGCTGAGTACTTGACAGGGTGAAAAAAAAAGTATGCCTTGCTTTTTGACAGTAACTTTCTTTAAAATTGACTAACTTACAAACAGTTGCTCAAGCCAACACTGAGCACTTTATGAAAATGCAGTATCTGGATTGTACTGTATTCTGCCCCATATAGGTAATTTCTAGCAGATCAGGAGTAATGAGTCCTTTCCATATTGTGACATTACAGAGAAGATTTTAGACTGCCAATAATTCGGATACCGTAATGAGTAGCAATATTTGCATTTGTGCTTGGTATCGGCACAGTGGCCGATTCATATGTTCGCAATCCTTCCCTTAATATCTGTAAATATGACATCCTGTTTAATTGAAGCTATCGTGTTTTGCCCAGTAACTCTGACAATGTAGAGAATGTCTTCCCTGCCACACAAACAATGTGAAGGCCAGAAGCTTGTCTTTCAGCAGTAGCATCTCCTTTAGAAATGCCCAGAAGTTAAAATGCTTTTTTCAGTGTCTTTACTTAGCTTTTAAATATGGCCCGTGCTATTTTGCAGGTGATTGTGCATCAAACACTAGATGTCTGATAGGAGGTCATATTTCTGATCAGTTAATTAATTGCTATGTTGCAAAGGATTCCTTGCTTAAAGGAAATAACATGCTGTTACAAAAACACCTACGTCTGCACTTGAAGGACCTCACAAATACTATCAAGTGGATTGTGATTCGATGCAAATTACTTGTTACAACTGAACAGTATATTGAGTAAAAAGGTAGATCCTATTAGCAAAAAGAAGTCAGTCTCATTTTTCGGACCCTTTTCGAGGAAGTCGCTGGTTCAAGTTGCAGACACTGTTAAAATCCAAAAGTGTTTTCTGACTTTTTCAATAAGAGGAGATCTTTCTATTAGTTGTAAGGCCCTGCTGCTGTAGGGACTTGCTGTTGTCTTCTGGGAGCAGAGCAGGAGCTTATTGCAAAGCTGAAGGCAGTTTTTATAAATAACACCTTAGCCCAAAATATAGTATTCTACCACAGTGGTCCAAAGGACAAAAATATTCATACCTTGGCTGTGAATGAGTGAAAATGTCCAGGTTTACTGTAACAGTGGTGTCTGTGATTTTTTTTCTTTAAAGGTTATGGCGATAAAAGCAGGAAATCAAAAAGTTCTAAATAAGTTAATTGGCCTGGTACAAAGAGAAACACAAGGACGATCCAGTCCTGTTCTGGTGAAGCAATTATTAGAGAAGAAGCTGTCAGAGTAGCCGAAAGAGAAAACCACCTACGTGTCTACAGAAGACATGTGCTTCATTCTGTCTGGTTCGCTGCAAATGAACTTTGGTGCCTCTTCGTGTATCATCGGGATTGTTGGTTATACTTCAAGTGGCATGACGACCTAGCCTTCCCCAGATGCATCAGCCAAAGGCAGATGAGCAAAAGAATAGCAGGAGGTGATACAGCCATTTGCATCTCCCTCGCTTCGGTGTGGCATTCGGAAATGTGATTTCCACGCAGCCATGGGAGACAAGTTCCCAGAGGTGTCTGTGAGTATGCAGAGAGCGGAAGCTGTAGTGGTTAGTTTTGTAATAAAGCAAGTACAAACTCAGCTTTTCTAGCTGCTTCTTTGTGAGAAGGGAAAGTCACAGATCTTGAATGCAAAATCTGGTGGTGCACACTAGTAACTCACTGTAAATTAGTGTGAGCACACTAGTAACAATGATTAAAAGACCTAGCAGTAATTGAGAAGACCATGTGTGCCTCCATGCCTAGCAGATGGGGGGAAAAAAGTCCACTGCTATCATTTTTCCTGGTTTCTGAGGGATAGGGAAAAGATGGAGTCGCTAGCTGCTTAAGTGCATGCCTGAGGCTAGTGCCACAAACAGATGTAAGTGCCTACACCTAAGAATTAGTGTCAAGTTGTTTGCTTGCCTTCTCCTTGTTATGTGCCCAAACATCTGCTTTGCCTACTCGCAGCTTGTTCCGTTCTGAAGAGTGCCTAACGCGTGCATGCCTGAGCCCTTCTGAGGCTCACATCCCATTTTGGCCTGTGAGGTTCAGCATAGCAGACGTGCTTCTGCTGGCACTGACAACCTTCAGAGGAACAAGTATTGCCTTTCTTTTATGGAGTAGCTAAGTAAAGGGACTGTTTGCTCCAGTTTGATTTTCCTCTGCTGATGAGAACTTGTCCCTGTGTTAGAAATGCTCCAAGCCCAGGGCTGCACGCTTCTGTGGCACGTGGCTTTCTGCCGTCACCTGGACCTGCACCACGTTGTGGAAGGAATTGAACATGCAGTTGGCTTACCAAAACTTAGCAGAATTCAGCTGGATTCCAGGGTCTGCTCCACTTTTTAATCCTAAGGAGTGTTTTATGCTGTTTTTTTTATACCTTCCATTTTTCACCTCCTAACTTTAAGTACCCGCTGAAATCCAGGGTCCTAGAGTTAACTTCCCAGTCCCAACCCACTTTAGCTGATCAACCATTAACAGGAAATGCAACTAGAGGCAGCCTATCAAATTTACATTTGTTAGGGGAAGAAATCCCATTTAGTACCAGGGGTTTGAAGTTCTTAAATCCCTTCTGGAGGCTGCTAAGCCATACATTTTAAAGACCACATTTACCTCAGAATTGTTCTTTAGGATCTGCCTGCAGGGCAGACGTTGTCACAGGAGTGCAGCAGGTATGGCCCTGGGACTTCAGTCACCTTTTGCAAATGTGGTGCTTGCAACACTAGTTCAAACTAGGTTGATGGCGGTTCATTGTCATGAGTAGTAGTGCTAATGTATGTGTCGAGGAGGACATTTCTGTACAAACTGGCTCACGGTTCAAGTGTGAACTCTTAATTAGAAGGAAAAAAACCCCATGGTGTTCAAATACATTTAATGAATAAAACGTATACCCATTATTCACATAAAAATAACTTTACAATTCAAAAGTCATACAGCTGACAAAAAGCAGTAACATGGTTGCAATCAAAAACTATGACCCTTCCCCCCCACCCCCCCAAAACCCCAAACCTCCAAAAACTTCCCCAAAAAACAAAACCCCAAACCAACCCCTCCAGGATTTTCATGTAGCCTTCACACAAAAGCTTTTACTATCACTTTTCACGTCATGAGCAAAAAGTACCATTTTTCCTTACAGTGGTGTGAGTTTTCAGGTAAGTGTTCAGTCAATAAAGGTTTAAATTATACAGCAAACTTTAAATTTTGGAATTCTGTTCAACTCTTGCCATGGCAGCAAGAAATGAAAAGGCACAAAGGCTTCTGCATGAAATCTTGAATCTTAATTTAAAGGTACTCCCTCAGTTTAGAAAAACATGATTGTTTCCAAAAGGTGGTCCTCCAAGGTTAACGCTTCTTGTTGCACATCTTGATGCTGCTGTGCGGAGTTTCCCCTCTGCTGTAGTGGGTGCCTCTTGAAAAATAGAAAAGCAAAACAGCGATGTATTTGGAAGAGTAATAATTAAGTAGTGTTTAGAAGAGGGAAGGATCTCCACTACTGTAGCATGCCTACTGCTGGTAAATGTCTTTTTAATGGCTACTACTTCTTAGCCACTCTCTTCCTATGTAATTACACTTTGCTAATATGGTACAAAATCTGTTAAAAATCATAAGCCAAGTTCTATACAAGTACAGCGTTAGATCTTTAAATGGATTTACTGTAAATCTCAATCTATTTTCACCTCCACCTGCCAGACACAATGGATAACAAGAAAGATTAAAAAGGGATAATTGTAATATTCTTACCCTTCCAGGGAAGGGAAAAAATAAATTTTGTACTATATTATGAAATGGTCACTTCTAAAATTTTTGAAGAAATGTTTTGCAGACACACACAAAATGTAAATTTCTTTCTGATAGAAAAAAGCTGTTTGAGTCAAATGAGATCAAGATGATGAATCTTTTTAACATTTGTGGAGAGACCAGCTACCAACTTTGAAGCACTGTTAGCTGGCAGTGCTAGGACCGAGAGACGAGAAGGCTCAGTAGGGCCAGCAATGTTAAGTAAGTGCTCCCGCTATGGCAGCCTGCATTAAGGAAGGGGCTCATCAGTCACCTTACACCATTGTGATCGAACCAATACAATCAGAACACCGCATCCTTTTTTTGCCTGCCAAGGGCCTGATGCAGCAGCCTAAGTACAACCACCACCACTCTCTGTGTCTGAAATGGAGCTAAAGGCAAATTCTGAATACTCCACAAGTGAACTCTGTACTGCGCAAAACAGCTTTGGTTTATATTTGTATAGCAGTAGTTGATGGAGCACATTAAAAGACAGAAGCAGCAGCCTTAAGGAATTTAATATCTGCTGTTGTAAAGACAAATAAAAAAAGCCCCATAGGACATGTGGATCCGCAAGATAAAAGGCAGAGCCTGACTATGAAGTGTTCGATGTCAGAACATTTTGCAGACCAGGAGGCTTTTTTCAGTGGGGTTGTATGGAGGCTAGGAACTCAAGAATTGAGATTGAGGCTTTGACCCCAACTTGCAAGTCTTACTCAGCTACAGTACTGATTGTAGATGCCATCTGTGCAACAGCATTAGGCGGGGTGAATTAAGGACAGTTTTGTGCAGATTTTCGGCAGTAACCATCCATGAACAGAGAGCCAAGGAAAATGCTCGCAAATTAAAAGCTGACACCAGACACTGTCACGACAATCTCATCTACTCGTTGCTGGAAGTCCTTTAGGAGGTCACTTCTGATGGTGGAGAGATGATACTTGCTATCCTCTATAGCTGGAGTATCCCATATCTGAGGTTGCAGAGGAGGAGAAGAAAGTTGTCAAAAAAGATGCTGGCAATGCTGAAGTAGTGAAGAAAGAATTTCTAGCGCTCAGCCTTGGCTGCAGAGTTTAATTTTAACTGTGTTAAAAATAGAAGCATATGATAGGAACCTTACCTAAAAAATTTACAGCTAGAGTATTCACGCTGTAATTTCACTGCGGCCCCTTTCCACTCCACTTCTGCAGTGTGGTGTAAGTGTACTGTAATGTTTTCATTTCTGTTCTGAGCACCCCTCTACCTACACACTTTCACAACCACTGACTTCAGCAGCACCTTCTCAGCGACTTACGGCCTTGTGTGTATTCTCGACATGTAGAGTGTTTGGTTTTTTTTACGTAAAGAAAAACAAATGGGGTTTTTACTCAAACTGTGTGAGGAAGAAGATGGAGTAGCATGCTGGTGGTCTTTTTGCCCTTGTTGTCTGCATCTTCCTTGCAATGCTATTTACAAGTACCCCAAAGTTCATTGGATTCTGCTTCACATAATGGCCGTATAAAACAAAGTTACAGCAGATAGGAGGTCAAGATTCATCTTAGAAACTTAACCTGCATTGGGTTGGCTGTTGAGTGCAAGTTGTCCCTGTACCTGGGTAATATATATAGAGAGGGAATTCTATGGCTAAACAGCATGAGGAAGGCAATAAAATACAAAATCCTAAGTTGTCATGACCTGTGATTTGCTGCACCTTTTTCTGCCCATTGCGATGACAACTTTAAGCTCCACCTAGAAGAGCCCCTGGGCCAAACCAGATCAGTAATTAGGGAACACGGAACCTTCTCTTCTGACTGTGCTCCAACACACACCCCACATCAGGCCGCACAGCCTGAATTTTAACTGCAATAAAACAAACCTACGAAAATGCTCCGCTGCTGCCATGAGGCAAAGAAGATGCAAAAGAAGGTAGAGTTTACTGAGCAATGCAACGGTGCGTGGTCCTAGCGAGTACTGCCCGAGTCCTCCCCATAGGATGTACAGGCATTTCACAATTGCCTGCAGCATTTGCTGACCAGTATAGATGTACATATAGATGACCTTTGCTGTCCCTCCCCTTTATCTGTGCCTGTGAGGTCCAACTCATGACCCTGCAAATAACTCCATCTGCTGGCTTTTCCCCCAAAAAAGACTGGTGACAGTTGTGCCAGGCCCCACGTTACCCCAGCACAAACAGGGGCAGCCAATTATTTCGTGCCATATCCATTGCCTTGTCATCGCAGCCTTTGGAGAAAGGCATAAGAGCTGGATTCAGTACTTGGAGCTGCAGAGGTTGTACTACCATGAGCTAATCCTAACAAGAGCGCTTCAAGGCCAACAGTTCACTGTAGGGAATGCTCCCTCCATGTACAGGCATTTTGTGTAAGCACGAAGGAAAAGTTTTCCTGACAAAACAGTTGCATCAGCCACAGCTTTAATCATCTAAAGCATTTACACCCACTAAGCAGGCATAACTGTCAATAAGTTACATTTTACTTTCTCATTTCTA